GACACACCTTTATGCCTACAGCCGCCACCTTCACTTTGTTCCTGGGACGAACCCTCGCTCATGGAGCTGCCAACTCCACTTCGTTCCTTGGACGAACTCTCGCTCATGGAGCTGCCACCCTCACTTCGTTCCTTGGACGAACCCTCGCTCATGAAGCTGTCAACTCCACTTCGTTCCTGAGAAGAACCCTCGCTCATGAAGCTGCCACCTTCACTTCGTTCCTGGGACGAACCCTCGCTCATGAAGCTGTCAACTCCACTTCGTTCCTGGGACGAACCCTCGCTCATGAAGCTGTCAACTCCACTTCGTTCCTGGGACGAACCCTCGCTCATGGAGCTGCCACCCTCACTTCGTTCCTTGGACGAACCCTCGCTCATGGAGCTGCCACCTTCACTTCGTTCCTTGGACGAACCCTCGCTCATGGAGCTGCCACCCTCACTTCGTTCCTTGGACGAACCCTCGCTCATGGAGCTGCCACCCTCACTTCGTTCCTTGGACGAACCCTCGCTCATGAAGCTGTCAACTCCACTTCGTTCCTGAGAAGAACCCTCGCTCATGAAGCTGCCACCTTCACTTCGTTCCTGGGACGAACCCTCGCTCATGAAGCTGCCACCTCCACTTCGTTCCTGAGACGAACCCTCGCTCATGAAGCTGCCAACTCCACTTCGTTCCTTGGACGAACCCTCGCTCATGGAGCTGCCACCTTCACTTCGTTCCTGAGACGAACCCTCGCTCATGAAACTGCCAACTCCACTTCGTTCCTGAGACGAACCCTCGCTCATGAAGCTGCCACCTTCACTTTGTTCCTGAGACGAACCCTCGCTCATGAAGCTGCCACCTCCACTTCGTTCCTGGGACGAACCCTCGCTCATGAAACTGCCACCTTCACTTCGTTCCTGAGACGAACCCTCGCTCATGAAACTGCCAACTCCACTTCGTTCCTGGGACGAACCCTCGCTCATGGAGCTGCCAACTCCACTTCGTTCCTGGGACGAACCCTCGCTCATGAAGCTGCCAACTCCACTTCGTTCCTGGGACGAACCCTCGCTCATGGAGCTGCCAACTCCACTTCGTTCCTGGGACGAACCCTCGCTCATGGAGCTGCCAACTCCACTTCGTTCCTGAGACGAACCCTCGCTCATGAAACTGCCAACTCCACTTCGTTCCTGGGACGAACCCTCGCTCATGGAGCTGCCAACTCCACTTCGTTCCTGGGACGAACCCTCGCTCATGAAGCTGCCACCTTCACTTCGTTCCTGAGAACAACCCTCGCTCATGAAGCTGCCACCTTCACTTTCATTCCCCGACCCAGTTGGCGTACCCCTCGTGGCTTCACAGGTGCCGCAGCATATCAGCACAAATAAGAGAAGCAGCACCGCAGAAGCAAAAAAATTCCGGAACATGTTGGGCATTTGGTGGTGAGCCATCTTTTCCTTCCCTCCTTCCGCTGGATCAGCTCACACTGCGACCTTGGTGTGTTTGTGTGTGTTATCTTGACAGCAGCTGCTCTGGTGTATATATGCGTGAACGGTCTGTTCTGGGTCCTTTCAGAGACTTCGGAGTGCACAGTAACGATTATCGCTTGTTAGTAACTTCCTTTCATGGTGTGTGGTGTGTGTTCAAGAAGTGGTGAAAGCAACGGCAGCGAAAAATCAGAAATGACAGTGGTGAGCAAAGCAGACCGCTCTCTGCATCAGCGGAACACAAGAAAACCCAGTGAAAAAAAAATCAACATGGACAGCCGTCGCCCTTGGAGAAAAAAAACAACGCGGCAAGGCACTGCGGAGCCCAGCACACACACAGACAAAGAGGGTGCGGAAAAGGGCAATGACCCTCTCGCAGACCCCGCGCCCACTGGCTCCACAAAACCCCGTCGCCACGCTCCGCCATTCCCCACCGGCCATCATGCGCACTAAGGCGGGTCGTCGGTGTGTGCGGGCCAAGCATCCCGCGCTGCAACACACATCA